GGAGGGGCTGGAGGGGCTGGAGGGGCTGGCTTCCCATGCTTTTGGGTGGCTTCGGATGGCTTTGGGTGGATTTCGGGTGGCTTTGGGAGCGGCGCCAGGCTGGGACCCCCATTCCGGCTGTCCCCGGCTGTCCCCTTGTCCCCGCTTGTCCCCTCTGTCCCCGGTTGTTCCCCAGTTGTCCATGGTTGTCCCCGGTTGTCCCCCGCTGTCCCCGGTTGCTCCCCGGTTGTCCCTGGATGTTCCCTGGTTGTCTCTGGTTGTTCCCCGGTTGTCCCCCGCTCTCCCCACTGTCCCCGGTTGTTCCCCGGTTATCTCTGCTTGTCCCCCGTTGTTCCCCGGTTGTCCCCCGGCTGTCCCCTCTGTCCTCGCTTGTCCCCGGTTGTTCCCCGGTTGTCCCCTGCTATCCCCTTGTCCCCCGCTGTCCCCTTGTCCCCCTTGTCCCTCTGAGTCACTCTTGCTGTCTCCCTGACACCTCCGTTTCATTCCAGTTTCCAGTGGTTTGGGTTGGGTTTTTTTTGGTTTGGTTTGGTTTGGTTTTCCTTTTCCCGAAATTGCTCTCTCACCAAACCTCCTGGCGGTTGAGAAGCTGCTTTGTTTCGCTCTGCTTTGGGTTTATTTGCTGGTTCAGAAACAGCCAGAGCTCGGCAGCAGGAGCTCCAGGAGGAGTCCTGGCTCACACCTGGGCCCTGCCCTGGAATTTCCATCTGCTTTGGAGCTTCTGCCTTGATTCCATATTTTCTATAATTTCTATATTTTAGGCTTCAAACGAAGTGCTTAGATCCTCTGTTGGAAAAGTTTTAATTTCTGAAGGGGAACAGAGTGGGTGGCACAGCCTTGGCACGGGAGTTTCTCTGCAGAACCTTTGTTTCTGTGTCTCTCACGCTCCCACCGCGCCGTTTTCTCTCCGTTTCCAGGCTGTAGCTGATGCCCAGGCCCCCCTGGAATGATGCCATCGAGGACCAATCTCTCTGCTGGGATTCCCAGTAGCAAAGTCAAATATTCCAAGCTCTCCAGCACCGATGATGGATACATTGATCTGCAGGTAAAAAGCTGGAAAAGCACAAGGACGGGCAGCCACAGCTTGGCCTTGCACAGGCAGCTGCTTCTCCTGGAGCAGCTGCAATTCAGAGAGAGGGACAAAGCTGGGTGGGAGCCAAACCCTCAGCCCTTCCCCTCTGGGGAGCCCAGAGAGCCTTCCTGGGAACAAGACTGGGAGTAAAGTCTGGCTCAGCAGGGTTTCCATGGGCAGAATTCCTCAGCTCCGTGTCACCTGTGCCGGCTGGGGAGGGGTCACATCTGTGCTGCAGAGGGAGGGGAGCTGTGCTGAGTTCAGCTCTTTAACACTGGGGTTTTTTCCATCCAGTTCAAGAAGAGCCCACCCAAAATCCCCTACAAGGCCATTGCCCTGGCTGTGGTGCTCTTCATGATCGGGACCTTCCTCATCATCATCGGAGCCCTGCTGCTGGCAGGGTACATCAGCCAAGGGGTGAGTGGCACTGGTCCTGCACTGTCCTCAGAGCTGCCCTGAGGCCTCACTGGGGCACAGGAAACTGCTTCAGGTTGCTCAAGTTGGAGGTTTTAATTCAAAATGAGGAAAGGTTTGTGGTGGAAAGGGTGGCACAGCTGCAGGGTGGAGCCCCCACTGCTGGGAGTGCTCAGAACACGAGGGTTGGGGGTGACCCTGGGGGTGCTGCTGGGTCATGGTTGGATTTGATGGCCTTTGAAGGTGTTTTCCAGCCTCAAGGATGCTGTGATCGTGTTCAGAACCTCAGAGCCACAGGAAGGGAGCAGGGAATTGATTCCCACCAGGGCCTGGCCGTGCTGGCAGCCCCCTTTCCCTGGGATCCCCTGGCTGGAGCAGGCTCAGAGCTGGGCTGGGCATCTCCAGGGAGGGCTGAGTGTCCCTGGGGAGGTCACATCCCTGTCCTGGAGAGATCTCAGCTCCTGCAGGGACAAGGAGGAGCTTCCAGAGCCCGCGTGGGACACGGCAGCGCTTCCCCATCTGCCTGTGATCCGTGGGAAGGGAATCTGCTCCTGCAGTTCTGGGGTGCCTGTGATCCATGGGAAGGGAATCTGCTCCTGCAGTTCTGGGGTGCCTGTGATCCGTGGGAAGGGAATCTGCTCCTGCAGTTCTGGGTGTTCCTCCCCTGCTCCCCGTGCTGGGGGCTCGGGGCAGCTCTCCCTTATCTCTGGCAGCAGCAGCAGCCTCTGGGCTCTATCAGCAGCGCTCCAGGCACAGATCTCTGGGCCACACTCGCAGCTCCCAGCCCTGGCTGCACGTCCAGGGGGTCCCTGGTGAAGGACGAGGTCCTTGGAGAGCTTCCTGCAGATGCCAGGACGGGACCAAAGGCTCAGCCTGACAACAGCTGAGATATTTCTGATGGAAGACAGATTTTTTATTTCTTGCCAGGCCTTGGGGATGGTTTGGCTTCAGATACCTTACAGATCACCTCATTCCAAGCCTTGGGCAGCTTCCCCTGGAGCAGGCAGGGTGTGGGAGGCAGGAGGGGATGTCACTGTCCTGGGCTGTCTGTCCCTGCAGGAGACCGACCGAGCCATCCCCGTGCTGATCATCGGCATCCTCGTGTTCCTGCCGGGCTTTTACCACCTGCGAATCGCCTACTACGCCTCCAAGGGCTACCGGGGCTACTCCTACGACGACATCCCCGACTTTGACGACTGAGCCGTTAATTAATCCCGCTCTAATTAGGCTGGTAGTTCCCCTGGATGCTGGCAGGGCGTGACTGATGCGGTGCTGCTCCCTGGGCTTGAGGTGTTGCAGGTTTTCCAGTTTGGGGGGTGGGAGCTCGAGCCTGGCATTGACCAAAAGGAATTGCAAAGAACTTGGGGTTTATGGTATTTATTCCTCTTGGGGTTGCATAATTCCACTCGCTGGGAAGTTCTTCCTGGGCGAGGCAATCCTTGCAATTTTCCAAAAATATCTAGATGAGCTGGTTTCAGCAGCAGATATTTGGGTTTTTTTCTGTGTTTTCTAGAGTTTATTTTAGCTTTCCATGAGATTTTGGTTATTTTTGGGTTACCTTTGCAGACAGACCAGAGTTAAATTCTCTCTTTTGCTTCCAAACTGCTGGTCCTGAGCCTGCCTGGAGTAAATAAAGTCTGGTGAGAGGTGGAAAGCAGCAGTTGCAGGAAGTGATTTCCACACAGTGCACTCGCTCCACAGCTCCCTGTCAGCCTGAGCAAGCTCATTTCCTCACAAACACATCCTTCCCAAGGCAGCTTTCCCCGTGCCACCGTGGCTTTTGGCAGAATCCACGTCTCCTTCACAAGGACTGCTGCTGGAGCTTGCTTATTTAAACAAATACTGGGAGAAAGAAGGGGTGGAACCCAGACTCAAGTGTCTAAACACCAAAAAATCTTGAGCTGGCCTAATGTGAGGTTTGGTTTTGAATTCCAGCTGTCTTTAGGAGTCCTTTTGTCCTTGTGTAGATGTTTTGCTGCGCACACCTGCCCAGGCCAGTGAAGAGAAGTTCTCTGTGTAGTTTGTGCTAACAAACCCCCTGTGGATGGCTTTGCCAGCTTTGCTGATGTGTCATTCAGGGTAAAAAGAGTGGATGGCTGCACTTGGGTGAGGTAAAACCAGGCTCTGCTGAGCTGGAGCGTCTCTGGAGAACGAGCAGCCATGCAAGTGGCTGCATTTAACATGAATAAAGTTCTATATTCTCTGTAGAAGTTTGTCTTTCCCACCTTCACAGGTGTCTGAGAGCACTAAAAACTCTGCTGGGCTTTGGCTGCTCCATCCAGGCACTGCTGGGGTGAGGGAGGGAGGCAGCAGCACTGTCAGTCTGCACAAAGCACTCCACGATTGTCACCTGAGCCCCAGCTGGGCTGAACATTCCAGAAGGAGGGGCAGGAGTGACAGGGCAGAGCAGGCCCATGGAAATGTCCACAGGGCTGGACAAACACCTTGCATTCTACCATACTGCCAGAATACCTTTTTTCCTCCTTTTTTCCTCCTTTTTTCTTCCTTTTTTCTTCCTTTTTTCCTTCTTTTTTCCTCCTTTTTTCCTCCTTTTTTCCTCCTTTTTTCCTCCTTTTTCCACCTTTTTTCCTCCTTTTTTCCTCCTTTTTTCCTACTTTTTTCCTCCTTTTTTCTTCCTTTTTTCCTCCTTTTTCTTCCTTTTTTTCTCCTTTTTTCTTCCTTTTTTCCTCCTTTTTCTTCCTTTTTTCCTCCTTTTTTCCTCCTTTTTTCATCCTTTTTTCCTCCTATTTTCATCCTTTTCTCCTCCTATTTTCTTCCTCCTCCCGCCTTTTTTCCTCCTTTTTTCCTCATTTTTCCCTCCTTTTTTCCTTTTTTCCTCCTTTTTCCTTCCTCCTCCCTCCTTTTTCCCTCCTTTTTTCCTCCTCCAGATTGAACCCAAACCCTGAGCCAAGCTCTTTTTTAACCTTCACCTCCTCCCTCGCTCGTCTCTGTGTGAATCCCGCTCTGAGGAAGGATCTGGTTGAATTCAGGATCCCCCTCTCCACCTCTGGAGGCACATCTGGGCCAGGGGAGCAGGGCCACGTGCTGCTGGCAGCAGCTGGAATGTGTCACAGCTCAAAACATGAATCAGCCTCTCTTAGGGGACAAGAAGCCGGGTTCATTTGGGTTTGGATGACGGGGAGAGGAAGTGGAAGTGGAAAAAGCAAAGAGGGAGGGAGAAGATGAAGAAAGCTGAAAAGGAAGGGTCACCTCAGGGGAATAAATAAGAAATTGGACTTGGATGATCCTTGTGGGTTCCTTCCAATTTAGGGTGTTCTCTGCTCCTGTGGTTCTAAGAACATCCTGGTGCTCCTGGAGGAAAGGAATTCATGAATTTACATTTCTTTGACAGAAGTAAAGTCCTCAGGCAGCAGAGTGGATAAACAAGCAGGGCTGTGTGAGGGATGGCCAAAAGAAAAAGTCCTCTCCACAAGGGTTTTTTATATCTTAACTGGGGGAAAAAAGGAAACACTTCTAGGAAAGAAAAATGAGATTGCGACCACTGGAAATACACGGATCCAGAGGACTTCATTCTTCAAGAGAGCTGGCTTTGTTCTGAGGTGGAGCCAAGGATCATGGGGGGAAAACTCGACTGTGGATGAGCAATTTTTGTTTCCAGTTGGCTGAATTGACTGGTTTGCTGCTCTGGGCTCAGGCAGACTGTGGTCTGTGCTGGTTCAGGACTTGTCACCCCGAGGCCTTTCCTTCCCTGCTTTCCCCTGTCCAGGAAGGCATTAAAAAACTGCTTTGAATGGGAAATAAGGCAGTTACTGTGAGCTCTGTTCTGCGGCCTGCACGGACAGAGCTTTCTCCTGATAAGAATCAGGAAGTGGCATTTCCTTCCCTCCACACTGTACTTGGGCTGGATCCTGAGCTGTGCTCTTGTCCTCATTCCTGGGGCAGCACAAAGGGAACACACCAGATCCATGAGATTCACGTGGAGCTTTTCCAGCTCTGCAGTTCCAGAGAGGAACAAAACTCTGATGAATCTCCTTTGAGAGGATTTTCAGCTCCTGTGAAACACTGAAGCAAAAATTCAGTGGAGGAACCATCCTGGGGTGCTAAAGCAAAGGGCAGCAAATCCACTAGTCACCACTAATTAATTCTGTTTTGAAATATTTACTTGGGCTGAAGTACTAGCTGCTCTTAAGTCTTTAAAGGATTAGCTGCCTGCTACTCTTTGGTGCCTGCAAACATTTATTTAAGCTGTTGCTGCAAATCATACTGTTAACCTGTCATGAGAGGTTTTAACCTTCCTTCCCTTGTCGGTGGGAAATGCCTGCTGCAGATGGGACAGAAATTAAACATCCAGGCAGGTCCTCTGGGCTCTTTTCCCCATCTTCTTCAAGGAGGGACAAGACAGAAACTGAATGCAGTGATGATTTCCTCCTTCAGGGTGTTGTAAAGCCTGAGGAGGGGCTGTGGGGAGTTTAGGGAACCTGATGATGCAGGAGCATCAGTTTCTGAGCTAAAGCCACGTGTGGCAGTGGGAATGCTCTGGATCTAGAAGGAATCCTCAAAGAAAACAGAGCTCACGTCATCAGGGATTACTTCTTACTCTCAGGCATGTGTTTAGTGTAAAACAGAAAGATCTCAAGTCCTTAAACCTACGAATACTAATTAGCATCTCCATATAATTTTCTAGCAGTTTCCATTAATGTGTCATTAGAAGAAGCCTGCCAGCTCCTATAATCCTCCTTTTTCTTGGCTTTCAACACTAGCAGTCCATATCACAGCATGACCTCCTCCCTGCTATTTTGGGTGGTTCTTTTGCAGATGAATGCCTTATTTTCTCTGTATTTGATACTGGAGGTCAAGTGAATCCTCTCTGCCTTTTATTGCACGAGAACAGAGGCAGGATTGTAACAGGGCCAGTGCAAATGTGTGCCTAAAAATAAACCAGTGGATGGTCTCCAACTTCAAACACAAAAAGAGTATTTGTAGAGGTCTCTCTTTGTTGCATGACCGCGTTTCAGATCACTGAGGAGACACTTCAAAGTTCAGCTCACAAGCAGCTCGTGGTTTAATCCTCCCCACGAAACAAAGGGACTCTTTGACTTGGATCCGTGGTCAGCTGCCACCCTGAACCCTTGGAGCTGGCAAGGGCTCACTCTGGAGTGGATCATCCCTGGGGCAGGGGCAGGGATGCTGTCCTGGGCTGCTGCTTCCCACCCTGGCCACGGGGCTGGGGCTGACCCACAGCCATCCCCCCACCTCTGCTGGAAACAATCCAACCCTGAAGAGGGGCCAGAGCTTGCAGAACACTTCAGTGACACCGCTTGGCACCAATTAAGAGCAGCAGAGAGGTGGCACTTCAGGCAGGGAAGGGTTAACCAACTACAGGGCAATTTTCGGGGAAGAAGTCGGCGTTCATTGTTGCAGGTTTCTGTGGATTTCTTTTTGTCCTTTCATCTCTGATTCTTGATTCTTGGTAAAAGGGGTTGCTAGTCCTTCCTCTTTCTGTTTTCACTCAGCTTTTGGGGCTTTCAGGGCCCGGCCTGTGCCCTCACCTGCGAGCAGGAGCACGGAGGGAGAGCTGTGCTGGCAGGGGGTTATAAATAGAGATCCTGGCCAGCCCTGTGGCATCTGTGCTCCTGGAACTGCCCGCCCTGCGCTCCCGTGACGAGCCTTGCTCCAGCTGCCAGGGAAAGGAGGAACTGCAGGGCGTCTCCAGCGCCAGTCCCAGAGCTGGAGCTGCCTCTGGGGCTCTTTTTGGGCCCAGTTCTCCCTCTGCCTGCGGGAGTTCTGCTTCTCCCGTGAGTGAGTGACCACCCTGCTGGATTTGGGCAGTTCAGCAGCTGCTCGTGCTACCTGAGCACCTCTTGTTTATTATTTTGCCTTCTGCCCCTCGCTGGAGGAGCCTGGTGTGTCTGTGCCACTCCTGCTGTTGCTGTGTGCTCACACGAGGGATTAAATGAGTCACAGGGTAAGAGTGACCCTAGCCCATCCTTCCTCTCTGAGGCTGTTCCTGGGGAATGACTTGCAAGTGGTTTAAAGCAGGGGCTGTGTCTCTGCTCTCACTTCTCTGCTGAGGGATGAGTAAGCAGCCAGCAGGAGCTTCACTTCACTTCAACTCCCAGTGCAGCTGGCTTAAGGAAACTTCTTTTATTGTCTGCTATAAAACTCCTCTAACAGCCTTCAAAATGGTTTTGTGCACCATGTCAAGCTCATTTTGGAATTTAGCTGAAGTGGGAATGAGCTGCTCTGGTCCTGCTGATCCACATCTGCTGCTCTTTATTCCCAGAGCTTTGAACAGCCACACGTGAACGTGGCACAAGGTGACAAATCCCAGCTTGTCTCCACCCTGGAGACCATCCCTGCAGGGTTCATCTGGTGGGGAGAAGATCTAACAGAGCTCCAGGGTGAGTGTGGCCAAAGCCACCAGGAGCTGTCAGCCCCGGGCTCCTGCTGTGCCTCTGCAGCTGCCACAATCCCTCGGAGCCAGGAGCCAGATGTGGCTCCAGAGGCTCGGCCTTTTGACAAGAACAGACCAGCTCAGGCTGCTTTCCTGCTCCCACTTTTCCCAGCATCTGAGGGATCTCAGCTCGTTCCAGGAGCTGTGCTTTTGGGAAGCAGCCTGGGGATGAACTCAGAGAGGTGACTCAGCCCATCTCCTGTCAAACACAGGCTTTGCTCCTGACTCAGCAAGTGAAATCTCATTTCTTTGGTACAGCCCTGAGTACCAGACAGAACAGCAGCACGAAAATTGCCTTCTCCTGCAGAGCACAGGCTGTCCAGCTGCGTCAGTGTCACCAGCAGCACTCTGTAGCACTCTCCCTGTGAGTGCACTCTCCCTTTATTCCTTGGGATAAATATCCCATGGCCAGCGTGGCTTGAGCAGTGCTACAGGGAAGAGGGAGCTGTTTGTACTGTCCTGCTTGGTTGTACTCTCCTGGCTCCCACTTACAAAACATTTTGCAAGCCCAGACTGAAGGAAGTTCTGCCCAAAAGCTGCTGGAGGGGAAACCATCGTGAGAGGACCAGCAGAACTCTGCAGATCTCCTCTGCTGCTCACCTATTGATGTATTTATTACGTGAACTCAGACCACAGCAGGGGCTCTGCAGCGTGGGCTGCTGGCTGCAGCTTCTGTAATTTGAGTACTTGGCCCGAGATCCTCGGACCAAAAGCTCTCTTTGCTACAGAGAGCACTTTGCACTAATTAAACCTGGTAAAAATTCATCCTGCCTCCATTTTGCAGATGACAAACTGAGGGGTTGAGCTCAGCTGGCAGAGCCCATCTAAGAAAAGCCTTTCTGAGAAAGAAACACGTCTTTTCTGACTCAATTTCCACCTGGCACTGGGGGGAACAGCAAGCCATGGGTGTCCCCATGATAATGATAAATTCCTGAGGGTTGGGGAGTTTCCCACCAGTGTAGGTGGCATTTTAACCAAGGGCTGCTCACATTTGCTTTCCTCACCTCACAGAGTGAAACCCAGCTCTGCCCAGCTCCTCCCCTCAGTTACCATTCCATATTCCAGAGGAGAAGCTAAATAAACACGTTTTTTTTGGCTTATTTGGGGGAGTTTCCACTCACCTCCTAGACCTTTGAAAATAGCAGGGGGTTCATTTTGATTCTGTCTAATCCAGTGACAGATATTCCTGTTATCCATTTACAGGAGTGCTGGGCTCTTCTTAAGTGCTGGACTTAATTGCTGGAGTCCCACTCTGGAATCTGTGGAATTCACACAGAATGTTATTAATCTAATGCAAGGCAGGCTATATATATATATTTTTTTTCATTTTCTTTTTTTTTTTTTTTATGTTACAAAAACTAAACTCAAAACATGCCAAGAAAACAAGATTGGAAAGGAGCTGTGGATCCCAGTCCCAAACCAATGACAGGATCGTGGGATGGTTTGGGTTTATTGCAAGGTCCATCTCATTCCACACCCCTGCCAAGGGTGAAGATGCCATTCACTAGATCCCATCCCTGGATGTGAACTTTTGATTTGGTTTTTTGGACATCTTGTCCTCAGATCAACGATTCACATCCCAGCTGAGACAACACTTGGATTTAAAATGGAAATTTTGAGTAAGAGATGCCAGCCAAAAACATTTCAGCATTGAAATTTATGCCAGTAACGTCCCTGCCACATCTGAGGAAAACCCTGACCTGCAGTCCTGTCCTTCCTGTGTTTGATCCACACAGAACCTTGAAGAAACAACCCAGATAAAGCTGGGGAATATCCTCAGTAAAACTTCCTTGGACTGTTTTGTGCTGGGGTGCAGCAACACCTCACCTGCTCAGGTAAGCTGTTGAGTGAGCTTTGAGGAGCTCAGGTAATCCAGACAGAGGAGAAAACAAATGGAATTGTGTCTCCTTCGGATCTCAGAGGTCTGCACACCAAATGATTGATGGCTGCTAATTCCTCCTGCTGTGCTGTCGTGAAGGACGTGCACATCCCATGGCTCCAGCTCTTCCAGCTTTTTCATCGACCTGTGAATCATCCAGGCAGGGAAGGACTGAATGTTTAGATAAATACCTCGGGGTTCTTCACTACATTTTAATAATGCAAATGACATATGCCAATAATCCCGGTAAAATTGTTTCTGCTTCTATAGCAGGACAGTGTGATGGCACAAAATGGGCTCTGACTTCCTGAACAAGGGAAATGCCAGGGAATTTTCTCAAATTTTGCAGCATGGGAGACCACCTGGAAGGGAATTTATCCATTTAAGAGGAAAAAGGACTGAAAAAGGCTTTACTGGGTTTGAGCTCATGGTTCCAGGGGGGGTCTGGCTGTGTAGGTCAATTATTGGAGCACTAAATCCACCTTTATCATCCTTCCCCAGCTTGTCCTTGAGATTATCACGACCCTGAGGTCTTTATCTGTTACATTTCAATCTGACTGATGTGTTTTCTCTCTCTGTGTTACCTCTGTTTCCCTCTGCCACCTTTCACCTGGGAAAATTGTAACGCTCAAAAATAAAATAAAAGAATAAAATAAACAGAGCTGTGTCTGTGTCCCTGATCCACGATCACGATCCGTCCTCCTGCACAAACTCCTGTCAACAGCAAAACTGCTGCAGCCTCCATCAATCTGACATGACTAAAATGTCCCTCCTGCCACGGCCCCATGCTCCTCCACCCTGAAAAATAAAGGCTTTTAACGTTTAAGAGCTGCACTTGGGATGAGGCCAGCTATTGAATAATGCCAAGGATCAATATCCATAATCAAACCTTGTGCCTTAGCCCTGCCCTGTATCGTTCTCCATTGGAAAACCTTTTACAAGCTTAACCAGGAGAGTATCACAGTGAATGTGGAAAAAAAAATATGCCTGAGGATAATCACAAATGTTCCAGAGGCCTCGTAGGGTCTCTGGTCTTAAAGTAAGCTGCTGGGTTTTAATGGGATTGATGAAACCCTCTTGATGGGGGAGCTGGAGGGAAGGGGCAGGACAGCTGGTGAACAAACACCTCGCCAACATTGCTGCACAAACAGTAACGTTTGAGCCAAGGAGCCGAAAGATCAACAGAGAACTGCAGGTGAATCGGGGTCCAATTAGTGCCAGTGGTCTGGGGAGATCTTTCCCATCGACTTGGGGCTGCACTTTAATTAAATAACAGCAGGGCTGGGGAAGAAGGCCCGGCATGGGTCAATATCTCCTCAAGGACAGGCGGCACAAGGAGAAAGGGCAGGAATCAGCTGCGGGGGCTCGGTGCTGGCTGCCCAGAACAGCCCTGAGCGAGGGAAGGAGCCACGAGCTGATGTGTCTGAGAACTGCACGTTCTGGAAAGGGCAGGACACAAATTAGAGCGAGTTAACGTTGTCAGAAGCCATTAGGGATGTCAGATGTTGCCGAGAGGGACGTGAGAGAGGCAGCGTCCAGCGCTGGGTACCGGAGCTGCAGACGTCAGCCGTGCCTGAAAACACCCAGCTCTGCGGGCTGGGGAAGCAGGGGGGGTGGATTTGTCACATTTGCGTCACATTTGTCCTGGCCCCCACCAGAAAACTGGAAATCTCAGAAAAATTGTGTTTTCTGACAAGAGTTGTGGACGTGGTGAGGGTGTCATCTTTTGGGGGACTCAGCTTAGCCTCCTCTGGTACAACAGGGGAGGTTTAGGTTGGCCATCAGGAGGAATTTCCTCACAGAAAGGATGATTTGGCATTGGAATGGGCTGCCCAAGGAGGTGGTGGAATTACTGACCTTGGAACATTTAAGGGATGTCCATGTGGCACTCCGGTCTGCTTGGGATGGTGGTGATTTGGCACAGGCTGGGCTTGACTTCAGAGATCTTTTCCCACCTAAATGATTCTGTGATTCTTTTGTTCCTTCCTAAACTCACTCTCCTATTTTAAAAGCTGCTTGGGGACCTCATCAATATCCATCAATATCTGCAGGGAGGTGTCAGGGATGGAGCAGGCTCTGCTCCCTGGGGCCCAGCAATGAGACAAGAGGCAATGGGCAGAAACTAATGCCTGCAAAGTTCCACCCGAACACGAGGAAGAACATTTCCGTGTGGGTGACCAAGCACTAGAACCAGAATAACAGATTAACACAATTTCCTGAGTTGGAAGGGACCCGTCCGGAGCACTGATCTCAGCCTGGCACACAGCAGCAATGTTCTGCCACTCCTGAAGCTCTGCCATCCCTGAGGCCGTGCCCATTCCCTGGGGAGCCTGTTCAGTGCTTCATTGCCCAGAGAGGCTGCAGAGTGTCCCTCACCGAGGATATTCCAAACCCCTCTGGACACAATCCTGTGCCATGTGCTCTGGGACACCCTGGCTGGCCCAGATGCCCCACTACAATCCCTTCATCCTGCCCCATGCCGTGACTCAGCCATTTGTGTCTTTCGTGCACAAACCACTAACACGTCCCTGCAGCCGGAGGCTTCTCCCTCAGGGAGCACGAGGCTGTTCACCCCACCGAGCTCCGGGGCCGCCATGGCGGCCGGGCCCTCAGGGAGCCGAGCCGGGGCCGCGCCATCTTTTAGAGGCGGAGCGGGACCCGTCCCGCCCCATGCTCTGCCTGCCGGGGC